TATTTACTATATATATATATATATATATAGTGATCAATTCTAAGTTGATCAATTATAGTCAAGAATTTTAAAATGCTAATCTTATGGTTTCAATAATTCCCAATTTGATTGATTCACTTACTTATGTTTTTTATCTGTCACTATCTTTTAAGCATTAAATCTTAAGCAGTAAAAAATAATTTTTATATTAGTGAATCATAGTCAAGAAAAATAATAATCTTACATTTTTTATAATTCTCAACTTGATTGACTCATTTACTTATTATTAAAGTCTTAAGTATATTTCTATCGCTATATAGATTAACTTTAACCCTCTTGTCAATACCTGAGTACCCATTTTCGTGTTCTCATTAAAAATTTTTCAATTTCCACAATTTCAATTTTTGACAAAATATTAGCTTGCCAGATAATAGCCAGATCCATTATTTGAATCATTTTACATCGATTTACACTCTGAGCCCTAATTTTTTTTTTAATTATTCTTATTATTAGGGATCAAAATTGACAACACGCTTATTTAATACCCGGAATACTCGGGTACTCCAGGCTTATATCACGGGCATTCCACGACTGAATTTTCTTTATGCTTTTGCTAGTCGAGTCATCAAAACAGTTTACCTTGCAAATTCACTTGCCGACTCCTTCACTTTTTCCAAGTACTATTTTCTCAATCATTGATAAATAATTAATGGAAAATAGCAAGAATTTTCAAAAAAATGTACACCGAATACTAAACTTCACATATCTATATTCATTCAGATCTCATTCAAGAATGAAACCACGCTATAGAATTTGTTCATAGGGATACTCAAGGGGACGCTCCAGGAAATGTTAGAGAGAGAAATCCCTGTTCACTCACTAATTTATAACAGTACCCAGGGGAAGGAAGTAAGTAGCCCTATACCGTCGTAACTATTTTGCATAGTGAGTACCCAGGTACCCACCTGAGTATTGAACAAAAGGGGAAAATCTAAGTATTGACAAGAGAGTTAATCTCATTATTATTTACTCTTTATCTTTTCCTAGCCCTTATAAAAGAAAAAGTAAAAAGTAAATTAGGAATAAAATTAATCCATGTGAACATTACTGCTTATGTTTTTTATGTGCCATGATTCTCGTATTTCAAAACTTATAATATTCATATTACGATACATTTACTTTTTATAGAATTACACAAGATACAATTAAAATGTAAATAATGCACTTATGACATAACAAATAAAATAAACAAAAATAAAGATATTATATTATAAATGAGAAAAGAATACAATTAAAATTGTTAAAATGACTACTAAGATGTAACCACGGTAGGACATAGTTTGGTTTACAGAAAGCTACCTCTTTGGACTCCCACTCGCTGTCCACATAACGTGACGAGGATGGCACCTCATGATCCCGCAAATATCGTCGCGAAGAGGTTCCACTTGCTGTCGATTGTGCCATAATGCGATCAACGTAACCTATAATTTTGTTTTTGCTAACGGTCTCCTCTTCCTAGTTTTCTTCCCAAGCGTTGTTGCTAGCCTTCACCTCACATCTCTCGCATTCATTTAATATCGTTAGAGCATCGTTCCTTCTTGTCTTCCAATCATGCCGTTTAAATACCGTCAGACTCGATCAAACAATACAAAATCTTGTACATGCCAACGACAATGTGTCATTATGCATATCGCAATATATGTATGTATGTACAACATACATGGCACTGACGTCCCCACCCTTTCGGAAAGAAAAAACCCGATAGTTGCCTGAACTGTCTCGCGCGTACATTCGAACCGTCATAAATTGTATCTTTCTTTTTTTTTATTCTAAAATTTTTATAAGATATAAAAAAAATTTTTGTATATTATCGCCTTAAGAAAATGAAGGAATCTTTTGGAGAAAATTATGTCAAAAATAATATTTCTGAAGGATTTGAAAGCAATATCTTTATAGGTGATATACTTTAGAGTTTTGAAAAAATGTAGTTGAAGTTTTATAATCTTATATAATATATACATACACCCCCCTCACACACACACACACACACAACAAATTATTTTTTATATTGTTTTCATTCTATTGTTATATCGCAATTACACGAGTGTTTAACTTTTTTTCTAGTTTTTGACATTTCTTATTTAGATAAATATAAAAATTATAGACATAAAAGAGACGCTTTATTATTATAAATATTATTACAAATATCTCGATTTATTTTCGTTTGTTACCAGCAAATTTTTTGTGGAACATTTTATTGCGCTCTTTTCTCATTGTCTTTGACTTTCTACCGCGTGTACCTTTCTTATGTTTTCCGCTAGCTTTCTTCTTTTTATTGTCACCTGCTACAGATTGCTTCCGTCTGTAATATACATAAATACATATTATATTATTATTCTATTGTATATAGTGCAACGAAATTAAATCTAAAATGAAAATTTACTTTGCAGTAATCGTTGGGTAATCATCGCGCAGAATTTTTGTATTACTCGTCAAGATTTTATCCACTAAACCTTTATTCGCACGTTTCTCTTCGACAACATTTAAAGGAGGTGCTTTTCTCTTTTTCTTCATTCCTGGAACCTCCTTTGCGATCCCCTTTGCATCCTTCTCTTTTGGTAATCTGCAGAAATTTTTTATCATACTATTTTGTTTAAAAGCATGAACAAGATGTAATATCCAAACAACATACTTAGACTGGAATTTTCCAACTGATGCAGTTGATACACGTGCTATAGTAAGTGCTTCAGATAGGTTTTGAGAACTTGTAAAATTTTGTGTGGTAAGCACACCAAGTTTTGGTAATTTTATATTGTTTGATTTGGCTATATTATGAAGCCTTTTCAATTCATTTTTCGATTGTCTCTCTTTCTTTTCTGTCTTAGCTTCAGTGAACGAATTCTTATTCACATCATCACCTTCTTTAGCCTCTATCAACCATGTCTTCTCCTTCTCAGCTTTCGCTCGTTTATAACCATACGTTGGGATCCATTTCTATAAAAAAAAAAGATTTAAGAAATTAGGTAAATTAACATTTATTTATTTTTATTTAAAGTTTCTTCATCTGTTAAAGATAATTTAGTTAAATGCAACAGAATAATTTCAAAAAACAATTCTTACCTTTAATTCTTCATCCCATTTAAGTTTATTTTTTTTCTTAGTTCGAATTCCTTTTTCTTTAGCAAATTTTTCCCATTTTGTCAAAGGTTTAGGTTTCGGAATGGCACGTGAGCGTGGCAATACATAAGTAGGTTTGGGCAACGTTGCCACTATAACTTCGTCAACTCGTTCTACTGGCAGTTCCCAGATTTTATTAATCAGCAACTGTACGTTATCTCTCGTAAGACTTTTCAAATATGAATCCTTTGATTCTCTGAATATAACAAATATAACAATATAACAATTATAAATGTTTTTTCGAATAAATCTGGATTTTTTTTTCATAAGTTCATCAAACACATGTGAAGAAAAGGTTACCTGAGAGCTTTTGCATCCAAAGTGTTATAATCGGACGCAAGTAGAGTTCCCAGATCGATGTCGAGCTCTACATCCTTGTGTACTTCCGTAGACTTACTTGAATCCTTTTTTTGGAATCATTTTCTAAGATGGACTTGACGACATCCATTACGAGATCGCACAGATTCCTTCCTTTTTCAATCGATCCAGCCGTTCAGCGGAGAACCGATATAGGTTAGGAGCGTAATAATTTCAGATCAAATGTGCCTGCGCAAGCGCGCGTAGGATCACGGATAGGAGCGTCTCTGTGTGCGTAAGTGGAGGGGGAAAATCGCCAGCGTGCTCGGGCATAAGTTCACACCATTAGCCATGAGGCGTATTTGCCAATCTGATCCGCCAATCAGACTGGCCACGACTCTGATCCGCCATGTTTTGGCTAAATCCTACGAGAGAGAAAAAATATACATCATCTCACTCTAATCAATAACGTGTTTTGGTAGCGATATTTTTTACTTTGCATGTGCATTGATTCAAATGTATTGTGCATGTGTATTAAACACGTGGAAAGCGTGATAATATATTATTAAATAATAGAGATACTAAAAGTGCAAAATATAATCATAAATTAATTAATTGATAAATCAATATAAAAAATGGGTGAATGTTCATTTTTTTACTTAAATTTTATTTTATATTGTAATAAAGTTTGTTTATAATAATAATAAATATGTATAATAATCCTTTCTAAAAAAAGGCATGACATCGATACTCGCATCTTTCGAAATTTCCTCGAAGTTTATTGTTGACGCTTTTCTGCGATAAGTTCTCTCACTGCGTTAACTTTGTGAATAGCTGTTATTGTATTAATTTCACAGAGGATCGTTTTGACAATTGTGTATCAAAAAGTTAAAAATATTATAGTGTAACAATAGTGTAATAGTATTATATTAATTTTTGTTCTTGTGTTGAAAAAGATAAATAGCGAAAAAAAAGATAAATAAATAGTAATAAATTTAAAATCGTTAAAATTAAAAAAATATATTAATAAATACGATAAATATATTAATAAATTGGTAAATATAATTATGTAAAATAAACTTTTATAAATATACACATTTTATTACCAATTATGTCTTCTCCTTCTGCTATACTGCTGATTATAGTGTCTCTAGGCATCAGGGATGTTGGATCGCTACTTACTTCACGTTGGACATGCAATTGGCCGATTCTGTTATATCTCCCGTACATTCGTGCAAATCCATTTGGGAAATATCAAAGATGAGCCCTTCGTATTGGACGAGAACGGTGTCACGTGTTCACGACAGTTGCCCTACTCGCCCCGTTTCCGTCGAATTTCGTGCCTCATTCTGTCATTTGTGTCACTCGAATCAAACGGGATTCGGGATTCGATACGATTCTGATAAGGTCACTCGGGCGCAGACCGACTTCAAGATTTATTTCGCGGCCGTTATCGATCAAGAAGGAAGAGATTCGTTTTCGGTGCATCTCGTCCACGAAGGATTTTACAAGGATACCGCGCAGCCGTGCACGTCATGGGATACCAAGGAGCAGGCTCTGTTGCTACGCTAGCTTTGTGACTCATCGCGCGAACGATCGACCCACTTGTCACTGTGTTGACAAGTGCGCTCGGGAGTGGGATCGGAAGATAGCGATTTCCCATCGCCTTTGACACTTCGCAAATATCGGCGCGAGGCGTATCTCGCGCGCGAATCGTCGGCATTGTCATCGTCAGAGGAGAAGCACCGAGGAGCGACCGCTGCATTTGTAATAATTGGTTAGTTCCGTTTAACATCGTTCGTGGGAAATTACTCGGGAATTTGGAATTTTTACGTACAATTATTCGCCTCCATGCACCAAATACAAATGTATAGATTGGAGATTTATTTGCGGCGTCAATTGTATAATTGAATTTGTCTAATTTAGCTAAGAACCGCCGTTGACAGCTTAAAAATGGATGCCGGATTCTCGTCGTACCACAACGGTGGTCCTGCGCGAGAACAGGATTTTGGTAGATTGTCCCAATCGATTGGCACTTCAATATTGAAGATATCGCAAAATGGTAAGTTCTCCAATTCTTCTTTTTCTTCCAATTGATGAAAATAAAATACGAGATATTTATCTCGACTGTTCGTTTGCAGTATCTTCTATGCAGAAGATGGTTACTCAGTTGGGTAGTTCTACCGATTCTCAAGAGCTTAGAAATCAGCTGTAAGTTATGAATTTTATCTATTAAACAGAAGTCACTTCATAAAATTAACACTGTTTTCCAGGCATCAAATACAGCATTACACACAGCAACTGGCAAAGGATACCAGTGTTCACCTTCGAGATTTGGCTATACTAGCAAATAATTCTGGTTCTACAAGTCCTGGAGAGCAGAGGCAACGGAAAATGCAAAGAGAACGACTTCAAGATGAATTTACCAGTGCATTGAATTCTTTTCAAGTAAATATCAATATGCATTTTAATATATTTGTGATATGATTATTGATAATATCATTAATTATTCATAAAAATTAGGCTGTACAAAGGCTAGCTGCTTCTAAGGAAAAAGAAATGGTTAGGAAGGCTAAGGCTAATGCAGGTATTGCACCGTTTGGAGAGAAGAAACAGGATACGCTTATTGAGTTGCAAGACAGCAGAACATATGGAAATGATTCAAAACAGCAACAGGAACAGCTGCAGGAACAAATGAATCTACGAATGTTAGAAGAACAGGAAGCTAGTATAAGACAATTGGAAGTAAATATTTTCAAAGTTGTCAAAGATTTATGTGAATACATTGTACATATGTATAATAATTACATTATTTTTCATTTTTGCAGAGTAACATTAGCGATATTAATCAAATATTTAAAGATCTTGGAGCATTGGTTTATGATCAGGGAGAGGTGATTGATTCCATAGAAGCGTCGGTTGAAAGAACCGAAGTATCCGTCAATGAAGGTGCTTCTCAAGTAAGGCAAGCCAGTATGTATCAAACCAAGCTACGAAAGAAAAAGTGTATTCTTATAATAATTGCGGCAATCGTATTGGCAGTCTTGATTGGTATTATAGTTTGGCAAAGCAAGTAAAAAAAGTATACATACACATATTTATAACAGTGTACAGCATAAAGAGATGTGTAGTGCTACAAAAGACTGCTGTCTATATAAATGCAGAATCACAAATCAGCAAGATTCTTAATGACATTCATGTCCAATCTTAATTATTTTAAAATCACGCAAGAAATAGCATTGTCATAGAAACACAGAAGTGGAGAAGCACACATCTTGCGAATTTAATCCATCTAATTGTGATAATTGGTGCAAATTCTAATTTGCGAGAGAAGTTTTGATGGCATGTTCCAGATTGCCGTAGTCCATTTGTACGTTTCAATATTCATAAACTATCAATATATAATGATCATATAATATATATACTCGAATATATGACAATTTAACGCAACTAGGATATAACAAAGCTAGATATGTATGCATGCGTGTATGTACGTGAAATATTTGTATATGATTAGTAATGAAGTATGCTTGTTATCTATAATGCAATTGCATGTGCCTGTAAAATATCTTAAGAATTAACAGAAGCTGAGAATTTGAGAGAGAATGTTATACTTAAAAAACAAACTCACAAGATTCATATAAATTAAATGTATTATATTTAGTTTAGAGATGTTGATTTGTTTTAAACAAGATATAATAAACGATATGTATATATAACAAGACTGGCAAGAGCAAACTCTAGCTCTGATTATTCTTACCATTCAATCTTACAGTAGTATTTTATATATTTTATAATTAATAACATTGAAAATAATGCTTTTTAAATCAAGGAGCT